GACTTGAGAAACCTATTTTCCTGAAAAAAATTGTTTTGATAGGATTTCATAAATTTCCACCGAAAATAGCACTGGCTGCTCGGTCATTGAAAAATGAATGATTCCATTACCATTGCAGAATGCTGAGTTCAAATTTGAAGAGTAAAGCCCTTGACCCTTACCTTCATATATCTTGTAAATATTTACATTATTTCATCATCATCATCATCATCAGACCCAGGTGTGATCCGAGGGTTGCTACGCAGGTAAGCACCTAATCAGCTCTCTCTATACATTTCCGTACGTATTCATTCATGCTTACCGTGTCTTGGGTAAAGTAAACCTGGATCCCATACCTCTCGTGGTCAGACTAGAGCCGATGTCCGCCTTGGTTACGAACACTTTGCCGTTGATTCCGTTGGGAACAAACCACCGCTTTAGTCTAGGAAACCCTCCACCCAATGATGCCGTGCCATCACCGCCCTGAAAATAGTGCCAGTTTTTCAATCTCATGTGTTGATTTCGCCTTCAAATGATCGAAATTTGCTGTAGTTACCGTCTTTCATTTGAAGTCTTCACAGGTGAGAACCTCTGAAACACAAACACATGGAGTTACCAGCAGAGTTCAGTGGCAGAGGTGATGAACTAAGCGTTTTCTTTTTCTCTTCGGAGTAAATAAATCGTTGTGTAAATGGCTAATGTCTCAAAAGGGGAAATCAGTGACCAGAGTTCGAACTCCGAATTGGTTACGTTCACTTTTCCACAAATAACGTTGTGCAATATATGGTTTAAATAGTAGGTCAAACAGATCTAGAAGAAGTGTAACTCTGAATTCAAAACCATCCTGACGAGGGATGGGCTCCGTCAGGTTGTCTTGTCATAGATACCCCACTGCTGTTATGACTGCAGTACATGCGATGTCCTTGAGATACTAATAGGTTAGAGGACTCGTGACGATTCAAGAAAAAAGTTTCTCTTTTCTTTCTCAACAAATATGCGGTGATCTTTCTTTTTTTTTTTTTAATTAAGGAAGAAAAAGAGTGTTGAAGAAAGAAAAACAAAGAAAAAGTAGTACAAAAGCAACGAAAAAGAAAATGAGAAAAATCCTAAGTAATATAAAATTCTAAATAAGTATGAAAATCAATGAAAAAATAAAACTAATGAACAACAAAGGAAAAAACATTACGAAGGAAGAAGATTGGAAAAATAATAATCCGAATTATGTGTCATTGTCCATTTGTTATATGAGAAAATGATTTGTCTTTAATTGTTGCCGTCAGCACAGGTTTGCGCATGCCTGTTTCCCTGGCGTCGTCTTCGTCAGTACTTACGAGTGTTTCTCGTAAGATTGCCAATCCGATCAAGTTGTTGTAACGCCATAAGACACTCCTCTGCTTCTTTCCTCCGTCTTTGCGAACCAAAGATGAGTTCGTCCCTCACCCGACTGACCTCGACTAATGTTCAGGACGAAGACATACAGACGGCTGAAATAACTTTCATTCTTCTACTTCTTCTTCTTCTTCTTCTTCTTCTTCTTGTTTCTACCACATCATACCAACCTTCTCTACTTTTAACTGAGTCAATTCGGTGCCGTCGGCAATATGCAAGCCTTACACACCACATCATTCCATTGTTTTTTGCTTTCATTTTTTTTTTTTTTTGAGCTTTTTTGCCTTCACCACGCCCTCATACGCCCACACCATCACACACCTACACCATCATCCGCCCACACCCTCACACCTTTGAATTTCATTTTCCACTCTCATTTTCACGGATTTGACGTTATTTTTTTTTTGTTTTTATTATCTATTCTCGATTGTATTTCTCTTCAACTTTCCCGCCTCTCTCTTTCTCTCTCTCTCTCTAAGTTATTTTCCTTTGTCTAGCTATATATCTATCTCAGTCTGTTCATGTATATCTATCTATCTATCTATCTATCTATCTATCTATCTCGGTCTGTACATGTCTATCTACTTATTTAACTATCGATCTCGGTCTGTTCATTTGTATCTGTTTCAGTCTTTTGTTATCTCTCTTTATATCTATCTCAATCTCTTCTATCTATCTCAGTCTGTTCATATCTATCTATCTATCTATCTATCTATCTATCTATCTATCTATCTATCTATCTATCTCATGTTCTATTCATTCATCTATCTATCTATCTATCATCTATCTATCTATCTATCTATCTATCTATCTATCTATCTATGTTCATATCTATCTATCTATCTATCTATCTATCTCAATCTGTTTATATCTATCTAATTACTAGCAGTATAACCCGTCTTCGACCGGGTGTTTCATTACTGCGAATTTTTGCCGTTCAATTGGAACAGTTTAAGTTTAATATCAGCCCACCCGAAAATCAATATTAGTAACAACACATGACGAAAATGAGGGGGTTAACAATTTGAATGGGGAGTGGCCCTGAAAAGGGCCGTTTTTACGTTCTCAATCTTGCAAGAAAGGAACCTCTTCCATGGACCGTCATAATAATAATATACGATAATTTTTATTTACAATATAATTTTTTTTTATAATTCCAATAATCTTTTACGTTAAATTTCAACTCTCTAAATTGATTGTACGCTGCTTTTTAAAGACATTAAATTTTGCCTTTGATTTTTTGCGCAAAGTGTAAAAAATCAGTTTTTTTTTTCGATTTTTCACCTTCAAGGTTGTAATTTTTTCCAGCCAATTTGGACTCAAAACTGGCACTGAAGAATTATCTATCAAACAAAATAAATTCATCGAAACGCATCCGATCATACACACACACATACATACATACATACATACATACATACACACACACACACATTTTGATAATTATAGATATAGATAATATTATTGTAATAATTTAAACTATTTATTTTTATTAAAGTTTTTATGAAAGGTATATTTCCAAGAACAGGTAGTAAATAGAAAAACGTTGCTGAGAGTTATAATGGGCAGGAAGTAGTGGAGAGCCATTGTCGCCAACAATTTGGACTCAAAACCGGCACCGAAGAATTATCTATCAAACAAAAAATTTCGTCGAAATCGGATGAAAACTGGGGAAACGCATAAACAACATCCAATCACACACATACATACACATTTCGAGTATTATAGATATAGATTTCATTATGTTCCTATCTATCAATTTCAGTTTTTCGTATCTATCAATTTGTCAATTTGTTTATACATGTTACTGTTCGAAAAGAGGTTTGTCTCCTTCCTTCATAGTAAAATAAAAACAAAATTCCAAAGCCTTCGATGTCGACTTCTTTTATGGTTAAGAAAACCATTCTCTTTTCCCAAAACAGGTGTCAATTTAGATCTTAAATGAGCCGGGTTTTGTCCAATACAGAATCAAGTGAACGTTGGTCTTGCGTAGTCATTCCGGTCTTAAGAGACGGCTGACCGTCAAAGTCTCTCTCTCTCTCTCTCTCTCTATATATATATATATATATATATATATATATATATATATATATATAAATAATATTAGTGGTAAATATACATACGTATGCAAAATATATAAAATACCCATACATGCATATTTTTAGATGAATTGGATCGTATTTACGATTCCAATGGAATAAATTATGACCATGGAATATTAGTGTTTAAGCCTTTTCATATATATATATATATATATATATATATATATATATATATATATATATATATATATATATATATATAATAGTCGGTATATAATCCAAGTGAATCCTATCAATACAATATAGAATAAAATATTAAATGTTAAAACTGATTCAAACATAGAGTTCAATGATTTAATTAAACAAAGCAACATATTTCATACAGTAGGAATTAAGATTACATTAGGTTAATGATTATTTTCACCTTGTAAATTGAAATAAAATTTAGAAGGATTTTTCAAACCAGTCAATAGATGATAACTTATTGAAATAAAATTATTTATTTCAATAGAAAATGATCACTAACCTAATGTAATCTTAATTCCTATTGTATGATAGATAGATAGATAGATAGATAGATAGATAGATAGATAGATAGATAGATAGATAGATACTCCAAAATGATCTAATGACGTTTAGCTTCTCTCTTCATCTGCATATGTTGCAATTAGTTTGCAAAGGGGTGGAGCCGTTGCATGGGTACGTCTATCAAGACAAATTCTAGGGCTGCCTATCATTCTGCTGTGCCTGCTCAATATAATTGCTGCAGGAGGCGGTATGGACATGTTCAAAGGAATTTAAATACGGTAAACGCTGATTCCAATAGGGTACCTGGAAACTGGAGATAACAAAATCAAACAAGTACAAAAATTTAAATATCTGGGAAGTGCTTTAACAGAGGCTAGAAAGTGCGGCATTGAAATTCGAAGACGGATTGGGATAGCTAAATATGCCTTAGTTAAGCAAAGTATTAAGAAACAGAAACATTTCGTTGAAAACAAAGAAAAGTTTACTGAACTGTTATATAGATAGGTTTCCTCCTGTAAGGAAGTGATTGCAAGGCAATCTCTTCACAGATGAAGTGGAGACCTAAGACAGCAGAAATGTGTTTCTACAGAAGCATGCTGAGAATACCATGGACCGAATATGTGAGCAACGACAAAGTTTTAGAGAAAATGGAAACAAAAAGGAAACTTAAACTTAACATCAGGAAGAAAGAGTTGTAATTTCTAGGATATATAATGAGGAAAGAGAGCTTGGAAAGTCTGATACTCACAGGACAGATTGAAGGCAAGAGGGACAGAGGAAAACAATACATAACCTACTTAGTAAGCTTGAGTAAATGGATGGTGGATCAAGTTTTAGGAAAAATAACAAAAAGACAAAATTTATTAAGAGCTACAAAGGACAGGAAGTTGTGGAGAGCTGTGACTGCGAAAGGGCAAGGTACATGAAGAAGATTCCTAAAGCCAGTTTCCTGTCAACTGTTGCCGATAGAAGGTGGTATTATCTTGCTGAAACAAAAAAAATATGCCTAGCGAAAAGGAGTGCAAATGCTCTGCAAAAACATCTGTAAAAGATGTCATGAAAATGTTTACATTCACTAGTGGTCCTTGCGAACTGAAACAGAATATACTGTATACCTATTACTGAGCTAACACCCTACTAAGGAGCGGTCTCCTCCACACGGGAAAATCGAGCGTCTTCCTCAATGTGTCGGTCGTGTGACTAGTGACCCGGCCTTCCATCATAAAATGTAACGGCTATGCCGAGTTCAAAAAGAGTTTCAGACGGAGAAAGACGGTACATCCACATCATTCCAGATCTTGAAATTGATCAAGGTGTGGTTGAATGCGCCCAATCATTTATATTATATATCAATATCTGGGCCAATTGAACCTAAACATACACTCTCATATCCGTAATCAAATAATGTTAGATCTTAATTAAAAAAACAAAAAAATTCTTCTGTTGTTCTCTTTCCATTACAGACACTCTCTCTCTATCTCTCTTTCCCTCTTTCTCTCTTTCACTCACTCACTCACTCACTCTTTTATTTTTCCATTCTTCGTTGTTTCAATTTTTACTTTATCTATCTATCTATCTATCTATCTATTTATCTATCTATCTGTTTTTACTTTTTCTTTTCTTCTTTTAATTTGCGTCTTTTCCCCCCCTCTCTCTTTTTTCTTCTTTACAATTTTCTTTTCCGTTTATTTCTCTCTGTTTAAAGTTTCTTTTTTTATCGCTTGCTTTATCTCCCTCTCTCTTTATCTATCTATCTATCTATCTATCTATCTATCTATTGCGATCCCTCGTACTTTTTCCTCTCTCCATTTCTTTTTTCTGCAGCAGTCGATTCTCTCTTTTTTACCCTTCTGTTCTTTTCTCTATATCGGCATATTCTGTCTTTTTCTCCCTCTTTCTCTCTTATTCTTTTTCATTTATTCTCTCGCCCTCTCCCTCTCTCTCTTCCTCTTTCTCTTTCTCTCTCTCTTCTCATTCTTTTGCTCTACCATTCTTTTCCCTGTATCAGTTACTTCTCTCTTTCACGTCCCCTCTCTCTCTTACTTTCTTTTCCATTTTTCTTTTCTATTCTTATCTCAGTTTATATCTCTTATATCTCTCTTTCTGTTTTATTTCTCTCTCACACACACACTTTTACTCTCTCTCTTACACCTTTTTTATTCCGTTTTCGCTTCCGTCTTCTCTTTTTCTTTCTCTCTCTCTCTCTACTACTACTACTACTACCCTTTTTCTTTTCTGCTCTTCTCTCTCTATTTTTTTCTTTCTCGCTTTCTCATTATTTCTCACATTTATTCCTCCTCTCTCTCTCGCTTTCATTCTCTCTCTCTTTTTCTCTCTCTCTCTCTCTCTCTCTCACTGTGTTCCGTTTCTCTGTGAAAATTTCCTCTCTCTCTCTCTTACTCTTTTTCGCTTCCTTTTCTCTCTCCCCCTCTCTCTCCCCCACTCTCACACACACACTCTCTCTCTCTCTCTCTTTCTGTTCTCTCACCTACTCTTTTTCTTTTCCGTTCTTCTCTCTCTTACTCTCTTTCTCATTCCTTCTCACTCTTATTCCTCTCTCTCTCTCTCTCTCTCTCTCTCTCTCTCTCTCTCTCTCTCTCGCTTCCATTTCTCTGTGGACATTATTGCCGGCATCCTTCTGCACTTACTTAAATAAATACCACTATGAAGGCTGTCCGGAACGTCAATCCTGCTTAAATTTTCTTAAGCCCATCACCTCCATTCGACGCCATTTGCTTTCTTTTTCTTTTGTTTCTCTTTTTACAGATTAAATCCTTCCGCGTTTACTTTCCTTAGGTGGCATTTAATATTTCAATTAATTTTTTCTCTCTTATTTGGTTGCTGTTCCGCGAATTAATATTCCATTATCCCAACTCAAAAACAAGAGAAAGCTTCATGTTTACCGCATTCGGTTAAAAACATTTCGCTCTACGGTTCAAATAAATTAGACCGCCTATTTACTCTAATAATTTTGACACTTCTTCATTGAAGCTTTCAGTTAAGTATCTTTGAACAAGATGACAAATTGGATGAGAGTTATTTAACCAATATAGAATTTTGATCACCGTAAGCCTGAGCTTGCGAAATACATGAAAAAACATAAAATGAAATTAAAGAATAAATCTGGAAACTGCTCATGAAAAGCATCTCCAATCAGTGGTTAAATGAGGCAAGAAATGGCTTATAAATTGAAAGCTGCTTTCGTATAATCACCACAGAGAACCTTATCTGCCTCTCATCAGCATGGCTGATGCTAAACTACATGAGAGAAATACACTACATCTTCTTAGACTCACATTTTTCCACTGACATGAACAGGAACGACTATATCAAATCAACTGCTTTGTCTACTACAAGAAATATTCGCTCACTGTGTCGTACCAGGAAATTTTTCTCCTATGAATCTATCTTGCACATTTATTAATCTACCATTCGTCAGTGCATTAAATGCTATTGCCATATACGGTGCTGTATATCTCAAGATTCTTCACGAAACCCAAATGAAATGTAATCGATGCTAACCAAACATTTTGACTTCAGTCACTTTCTCACCAAGGTGGCTTCCCTCTGTCTTTTCTACAAATATTCTCACGTCAACTGTTCTGATAAGTTTTTTTTTTCCTGGTGCGCTAACTGTTTGAATTTACACGAGCTACTAGATTGGCAAGTAGGTCTCACTGTTTTACCATTGAACTAGCAACATATAACCACCACTTCTACAATTTCTTTTATCGCACTTCTGACCTGTGGAACTCCCGTTCCGATTTCTTGCTTCAGCTGGTTGCGTTGAGAACCTATTGTGCTACACTCCCTCTCCAGTTGTTATTGTTATAATTGCTGCATGAGTCTTTGACTCATGCAACAATTAAAAATAAAGGCATGAATCGAAACATCCTTATTTTCATAATATTTGGTTATATGGCTGATAAAGCATATCATATTTATGGTCAACCTTTTTTTTCAAATTTTCTCCTATATTTGTCTTGTCAGATTCACATACAAGTTGTTGGGAACATAAGCGGAAGTGTTTCTGGATATTGTTGATTACTGCATGAAATCATTGCCTGAATCGAAAATAATCTCATTCCATTTTCGGATAATTGAATCTTAAACATCGATCATTCTCCAGTTCAAGAATATCTTTTTATTATTCCAGGAATCATTCATATTCTTATGATCTGGGCTAATAACCCAGTCATATTGCTCGCGATCAAATCCGGAAAATAGTTATAAATTATTTTCTTCACTAATTTCTAATAATCAGAAATGAATTCTTTGATATCGTAATATTTGCTGAAGATTCATGTCTTTTGGAAATAGGCTGAAATTATCATTTCTCAAAATTGTTTCTTTTCTTTAAATGCATAAAGCTGATCAAAACAGTTTCTTTCTTCTCCTTCTTGTTAAAAGATATTTATGTAAGAAAAGCGAATTGGGGGGGTGAATGTAGTCAAGCGTGACAGCAGCAGTTAGGTTAAAAAGACATTAGGTAGAAATCTTCAAGTCCTAGTTTATTAAAGCGTTGGATCTTGAAATTGGTGAGAGAGTAATTGGATTCAGTCCTAAGCTTAGACTCAAGCCGAGCAGTAATAAGTAAGAACAAGAGATATGGACAGTGGAACAAGAACAATCTAACCCCTTAGATTAAATAAAGGGTTCAGTTCGAAATTCCTTCAAGGTTACGTAGATATAAAGACACAAGAAAAAGGCATGATGGCACAACATTGTGATAAATAACAAAAAAAGATGAAGCTATGCTTTATACCGTCTCGGCCACAGAATTCGTCGATGATCAAGCAAAGCTGAATAGTGCCTTATAAACGCAATTTCAGATTCATTTCGTATCCTACCGTAAACAAAACAATGTTTAAAGTTTATGATATATATATATATATATATATATATATATATATATATATATATATATATATTATAAATTAATTGATTTAAAATATGGTTTTTTTCGCTACACAGTCCCAACCATGTTTCAAAAATAGAAGCTAAAAACCCCGAATTTAATTTTGCAATTAAATTAAAAGCATTAGTTCCATTTCATCTTCAAGCGAATTTTTAAAACCATATTTTAAATCAATTAATTTATAATATTAATGCTCTGTAAATTTACATTGAGCACTATTTTGTAAAAATAAAAATATCTATAAGAACACCGGATTTTATATCTTACTGTTCTTTCTTTTTATTTATATATATATATATACACACACATCCACAAACAGACTGTTTCGCTGTATCACAGCTCCTCGAAGTGGCTTGACGTCCGATTGCTTTAAGCCGGGATTGAAAACCGACTGATTTGAGATCAGTCAGATACCTTACCACTAGGCTAACGTCGCACGGCAGGAAAAAAGGTAATTTTAACGTTTTTTCGATATGAAATACGCCAGCGGCTCGGAGAACTCAATTCATACTTGAAGCGTAATGAGCCGCTGTTTTGGGGGTTTTTTATTGTTTTGTTTTGTTTTTTTTTTGTTTTTTTCGAGAGCTCAACCGGATTTCCGGAAGCATATATATATATATATATATATATATATATATATAGGTGTAACAGCAAAATTGGCCAAATCTTGTTACAGCATAATTGTCCATCCCACAAAATGTTTAATATCTAAAAAACCACTAAACTAATTGTTTCTTTTTTCCTGTATTTCAGATAAGACGTTTAGCAATCTTGACACTATTTTTTGTAAGAATCACTGAAAAACCCTTTGAGTTATTGAGCTAAAAAGGGATCAGTTTGAAATCGTTTTGTGTCAGCCCCACTGTCCTTTCAACTGAGGAAAAAACATTCAGAGCATCAGTAATGGTATCAACATTCATACTCTGGCTTCCATCTTCAAAGTCCATTCAAGAACCATCAAGAGAACGCTGAATAAGTTTAAAAAAAAAGAGGAAACAGTAATGAAAAAACTGGGTCAATAGGTCACAACAGGAAGAGGGGTCATCATTTCAACTTACAGCTAAAGAGATCAATTAGAAAAGTTCCAACTCAATTCATAAGACGTTTGGCACGTGAGAGAGGAGTTTCATTTACTCCAAAGAGTAGTAAAAAAGACTTGAAAAAGAAATCGTACGTTAAACATGCGAGGCACCTTGTTACTCAAGGTTAGAAGGTTAGATAGGGCGAAGATCATCTTGAATAAGTTGGAAAATGATCCTGGTATATATATTTATATATACACTTTATTTCAATCCTGCATGAGCTTCCGATCCTTAGCTATGATTAATTAATGATGAAATTGTCATATTCGTTTATGATCGATTTCATGACGATTCTTCTGTTAAGCTTAGAGAGTAACTATACACTCTTATTACACAAAGGAAGGTCCAGTAGTGCCATAAACCTCGGAGAATTTCAGTAAGATATCTTTTATCATTTCTAAGATACTTAATCTAACAATTGGAAAATTGTGTGTGTTTCTGTGTGACATTTGGTATAACATTTGCATATTCTAATGCTGTATATAAAATCTTTTCAGACACAATATTTGGAATTAATTTCTTTTCACTATTTGGGTCCTGGTATCCGTTGTGATAAGGTGTTAGTATATCATTGATATACTAATGCCTAATATAGGCCTTGGAGATTGGAGAAAACATTGTTCCGAATGCAAATAATGATTACTACTTATGCTAGAAATTCAGACAGAAATTAACTTAAGAATAAGAATTTTAAATCTACCAGACTGGTAAGCTGATTTTTAACACCATCACGTAAAATTTCACAGAATTTGGTGTTATCATTACGAGCAAGATCTCCAGTACCTTGAAGGAGCGTTTATGCTTTGAATAGGTTTCATTACATACCTTTTTTTTTAAATAGACACTCCTCACTTAAAAAAACGAGTTTCGTCCCGACGGCATCGTGGCTAAAAATGTGACCGCTAAGTGAGAAGTTGCATTTATCTTCTATTTCAGGTATGTGAGACTTGAGATATTCACTAACCGCCCCACGTGTTCGGATGTGGCGCAAAGCTGAGTTTATTGTGGGGTATCCGAGCCCGTAGGCTCAGCCAAAAATTCCCCGTAGATCCCGTACAAAACGGGGTCGAGTAGCTGTCTCCCTTCGACATAGCCTCGTCTGGGGATCCTCTCTGCGTGGAGGCAGAGAGTTTGACCAACACACTTCCGAAGTGATGGGTTTGTATCCATTACTTTCAAACAGCTTTAATGTCATTTTGCACAATTTGTAACATTTTTAATTTATTTCTACATGTTTATACAGTATTGTAATGATCATTAAACGTAATGACAAAATCGAAATGTATAGAATTCTTCGGTTTGCATATTGTAAATTCAGTATAAGTAATTTTTTATTTGTTTATTCATTTTGATCCAGTGTGAAAAAAGGGAAATCAGAAATTTTGTACAATATACAATACCAATTGCATTTTTGTACAATATACAATTTTTTTGTACAATATACAATTTTTTGTACAATATACAATACCAATTGTTTTATATTTGGTCGTAAGTCTGGGGTTTGTTAGACAGTTATTAAGTGAAGAGTGACTGTATTAACTGCGCTGGAAACCTTATCTTCGTTGCTGCTGCCACGACGTTTCAATCATTGTACGTTCGGCCTTCTTCAGATGTCTGTCATAATTTGTAACCTTCTGCTAATGTCACTGAACCAGATGATTTTTGTGATATCTGAATCAAGAACTGAACTTAAGAACATCAGATTACTCGATTCGTTTAACTAACACTTTTATCCACTCAGCCATGTATTCCGGAACACATAGACACAATA